GATACTCAAAGATTTTCGAAAGGTTGACTTTTGCTTCGATAAATTGCATGGAAAATTGATCAGCTGATCAAAGTCAAGTGACTGGTAATAACTAATGAAATGTTCACCTGACAGAGAGGGCGATTTGAACACCAAGAATAAAGAATAGCAGTAACCAGTAATTCCAAAAACTTATATGAATTGAATGCGAAAATCCGATCGTTTCCGCATTGCGCAGCTGTGTGGCTTTTGCGATCATTACACCGAAACACAGTGCGTATCCCATTGGATGCATTATTATTCTTAGACGACACATCTGAATTTTGCACGAAAATATTCAGTCAAATATTTCAGTCAGTTCAATGCAATCATTCGAGCCATATTGTCTCCACAGATCAATTGAATCATTTTTTATGAGTCAGAACATTGACCTATGATATGATTCTTGCGAAGGGAAACTCTTCAATCATGTTTAAAACCAAGGTAATGTTATTCCTCATATAGTGATGATGAAAGCAATTTTTGGAACGGCTGTAATAGAGCATATCAGATTGCGATGGAAGACTACTGAGAATTTCTGAGCATAATAAAAATTCCATTCAAAAAACCTACGATATCGGATGGATCGAATACGAACGCGTAGCCAGTAAAATATAGAATTATGATGCCAACCAATAATGATATACCCAACGATTGGTTTCCTTTTACAACCCGCAAGTAGACCTTCACACAAATCAGAAGCAGCACCGCTAATGCAGTCAGTATGAGCAAAGTGATAATCACCAAGAACGCATAATTACTACCATGTATATGCCACTGGCCTTCTGTGATATGTTTCAAAACCTGGAATGAGCGACAAAATTCACTTAATGACTGATCAATTCAATTGAATTAATAAACATGAACTTGATATGAACTAGACTGATTGAATTCTTCTATCCACTCATATCGATCAAATTTCATGCTGTATCCAATAAATTAGGAATTGGGAATGGTGAGATAATCAGCAGATTTGAATCGTCCATTGAGAAGTGGGTGTGAACTGAAACACTAAGCAATATGACAAGACGTACAGGTGAATCTTGCTGTCCGAGTTGATTGTTAGACGCAGTTGGCTCACTCTGCACGTACGATCCACCTAATAGAGTGACATCCTCATTGAAGGGCATATGGAGGGGATTCTTGAAGAAGTCTTTATCCATCCAACATTTACACAGTGGTGGTTCACATCTTGAGACTGTTCTGCAACTTATTTGAATGTCTCATCGCATTCAACGGAATGTGATTGATGTAAGTAACTTTAAGCTATCGCTCGTAGCATCGTAGTTTGTCTCAGACCTTCCAATTTCGGAACAGATCAACTCTATAGTGGATTCACCACTAAACTGGTACGATTTCATAACGTTTTGATTATGCATCAGCTATCAGAAGCAAAATAATGTACATGTTCACAAGAGAGCATCACTGGAGTGTTTTTCAACGAAATGGCAGCGATTTCGAAAGCAAACTGGATCTCCTCAGACCATCGATGGAACTAAGACAATGGAACGCTCACCTTAGAGCTGCGGCGTTTTGCGATGGAATTTGATTACCATTAATATCGAAATTCTTGTATGCATCAGTGAAGCGGAGACCATCATCCAGTGACCAATTCCCAATGGTTCGATATGAGAATGAACCTGAAATGAGAAATTCGTTCAATTCAAGACTCTTCAATATTAACGTACGTTGATGGACTTGATCGCTGTGATTAACCGTTCAGAAGCTAGCAAATCTTTAGTAAGGAACGCGGATTCAAACCTTTATTGTTCCCGTCTTGAGCTTACTTATAATATTACCGAGAACTAATGGCAATTCCAATGATTCTTAATGCAAAATTAAACCATTACTCATAACGGTAATTGGAATGTGAGAGGAGAGTTACAACTTAACTTGCTTATCGGGAAGGAATTCGTACACCTCAAACTCGTCATCGGTTCGTACTTTCTTGAGTGTGTTCAGTATCTGTTTACGGCCATTTCTATAAAAATCGCTGCAAACGCCAGTTTGTTCTGGACACAGCCGTCGATAAACGACATCCATTGCAAAGAGGAAGCGTTCCACACCTCGCGACAAATAACCGCTTCGTGTCATACGACCTAAATTATTTTGATTTCTGCTTGATGTCTTCACTCCTTCATAAAAGCATTTTTCATCGAGCATATTCAACTAGAATCACTGAAATAAAGCAGAAAACATTCGCCACTTTCACACATATTTCAGTGGCACGATTGGAAAAGTGGACGATTTCAAAAACTGGTTCAGAATCAGCATAGATATGAGTCGATGAAGTTTCATTGAATGGAAAATATGCAGCACTCACCTAGCATAGGTACATCAAGAAGTTCATCACCCGTGCAAAGTTTATCATTATAAGTT